GAGATGCTAGATGATTCCATGACTAAAATGAGACAGGGATGTTAATTCTCTCGGTTACAACCCTTACATTTCATACAAGAATTAAATACAGCAAGCTGCATGGGTAGATTGTAGCAAAACTCTTCTAACATGGCTCATAACTCAGTAAAAGTCATTACAGAGATTCCGTGTGGCTCATTTTGCTCTCATTAATTCTGAATAAGGTGCTTGGGAAACTAGAAAAGCTGTTAAGAAGTTGTGTGCGCTTCCCACACAGACCCATTTTAGAAAGCAGGTGAATTTCAGAGACACTGGGGACCAAAGACGACTTCTCAGCCCAGCTGCTGGGCAATCCCAGGCAATCACATCGTGTAACGCCCTTTGGATCAAGTGACTGTGGTCAGCATAACTACAGCTGCACTACAAGGACCATGTTATACCTCACTCAAATAATATTTTTCAGGACATGTGTCCATGTCTACTTCAACTGCCAAATTCTCTTGCACAGAAACCTAAAAGCTCAAACCTGAATTTTCAACACCAATAGGAGAGAAATTACAAGAAAATTACCATTTAATTTGCACACAGGCTTAAAAATTATTCAAAGTTGGAATGTCTCCAAGATATATATTTATGCAGCACAGAGTTAAACGAAGCCAAAAAGTTAAATGTTTATTGATACATTAACAAAGTACACACAAATGGACAAGTCAAGATTTCTTCCCTCCAATGCAAGAGCTGAGTATACTTAACCTTTCCTCGCCAACATGAAAGATCGTTAATTAAAATCGCTGTGGCTAAAACACCCCACAGAACAGGAGACAAGGGAAGAGAAGGATCATCAAGGTCTTTCTACCTCCAAGACCAGATAAAAGTGGCTCGAGTCTTTTGTAGCACTAATATATTTCTTCTAGATAACCAGGTGAAGCCCATGGACAAGGGTGAGAGGGATGAAGGCTGCAACCTTTAACCAAGCCTCTCTCCTTTTCACCAGCCTTTCCTCAGAGCAGCCTGGGTGAACCAATTGGTTGGACAGGCTGCAGTGCTCATCCGTTGGCACCAGCTGGGAAGGGATGATTTTTGCTACGTACAAAACCAAGCTGAGGAAAATACTTCTTGGTAAGAGGTACCCTGCACAGCTGGTGGAAGTAGGAAGGACGACAAGGACCCCGCTGAAACGCATTACTGAAAATACCATGCGAGGTTAGCACTGCTGTTTGGACAAGTTTCTAATAAGCCTCAATCCACCAAATGCTGAACTCCATAACTCCGTTGAAATCCGTGGGGCTGGAGCTGCCCAGGAGCAGCACAAACACTAGGGTGGCTGCTCCTGATTTTGTTTGACGAGGACTCATGGATACTAAACACACTGCCCAGGGTGAAGTGCTTTCTGTGAGATTACTCAAAGCCACAGAAATGCTGTGAGCAACACGTGCGGACAACTCCCAGCAGCGAGACGTTTCAGACGCTCCCAAACAAAAGCTGCTGTTAATGCAGTGTAATGCAGCCTGGACCACTGTCACCTCCAGTTTTCTTTAGACAAGCCACTGGGCAAGTGCCAGACTCTCACCTTCTTCCTCTAAATCAGGGTTGATGCATACGGGGGAGAGAGTTTCCACTGACACATACTTAGGACTGTGCAAATATAAACCCTGGCTATCTTGGCTTTATAAATGGACTATCCACGCTATGGTTTCCACCATCATCCTACGAGAAGCCAGGTAAATGACAGATAATTGGTTACCTGTAGTACTGTGCAATATTCACTGTAGACAAAAGCCTTTCTTCATCCTTCACTGGCCATTGAGGAGCCAAGGACGACTAACGTTCTAGCTTAGGGGTTTTAACCTAAGTGCCCAAGTCAAGTCAGTCAGATCCTGACCTGATTTCATAGAGTACCAAGATTTTTGTGTGTGTGTGTGGGGGGGGAGAAAAGACTGAGTATGTACCAAAATACAATGATTTTTCTTTTCTTTTTTTCTTTTCTTTTTTGAAACGCCACAAGGGCAATGCTCTTAAATACTGGAGTGAAATACACTCTAACAACAGAACTGAAGGAAGATGTTCGCTATTACAGCCACGTGCTATGGAGAAGGGAAGCCTCATTCCAACTTCCAGCCCAACTCAGCATGCCTGAGCCTCCCACAGAAGTCTGGGAGCTCTGGATACCTTTGAGAATGGAGGAGCTGGTCTCTCGTCTGTAGTTTTAAGAGATGAAATGATGAATATTTCAGTTTCTAAAACAAAGAAGTGAAAGACCAAAAGCAACTCAAAAAATCCCACTAAAAGCAGTTGGTACTGACTGGCCTGGTTTAATCCCAAAAGCTATTTTAAAGAATGTAATCCAAAAGAAGAAAGGACCTTGAAAAGATCCATTGTAATACTGTAAAACAATGTAATATAACAGCCAGTACCATCTTACGTTACTGCGAAGTTATTTAGAAAGCTATCTGCTAGCCAAACTAAAGTGAAGTCAGCAATGTACAAGACCCTGTTAAAACAGCACAGAAAACAGGACTTTTCTCCATCGAGAATACAGAGTTTGCAATGTTAATATGTGGAGCTGGATCTAGTTCAAAAGCTGCTGCAGTCGTATTGGCTTTGTGATACTGAATTTGCTTCCAAGCATGGCAAGCTGCAACACTGTGAGCCCCTCTCCAAGAGCCTTGCAGATGTGATGTCTAGCACACCGAGGCACCTCCAAACACACGGATCTCTCTAAGACAGGCAGGCTCCAGCGGGGCACTAAAGTGTGTCCACGTGAGCTAACCAAGTCGTGGTTCATCCATGGAGATCTGCGCTAGCTGGAACATTTCCCACGGCACTGGGGAATTCGCAGAGCCCGAGGCAGCTGAGCAGTGGTCTAAAAGCAACAATTAATAATGAGAACTTAAAAAAAAAAAAAAAAACCTCTATTTGCATGCAGAGTTGTTCCGCATTCTCTGTGTGTTTTCTCTTTGTAAATATCCTCTTCTGAAAACAAGGTTTATATGAAGCAGCTGAGCTATGAACGTGATTTCTCTTCCCCTCTCTGACCTTTTGCATCAGGCAACCCTGATGGAAATTAATTCGACATCGAATGTGTATTCCTACCCAAATCTACCCAAATATCAGTAATGGAGGTGGAGGGGAAAGGACTCTTGAGACTCTGAGCTCTAGGAGCCAGCAAGGACTGGGCCCTTCCCAGTGAGCAATCTTCACAAAGCAGAGCCTGCTTTTGCTTTTATATAGTCACTGCCAACACTGCTTTTCTTCTTCCCAAGAAGTCCCCTGGCTGTAGGTGCACGGAGAGCTGCTGAAGACACACACACAGCCAGGAAAACTTTGGACTCTTTTCTCCTTTTCCCCTTTTAGAGGGCTCAGAAAAATGAGCACGTTACAGGCTTAATGAGTTACCCCGTATCAGCTAAGCCCTAGTGACCGTGCTGGGGACGCACACAGTCAATAGCCAACCCGAGATAAGACACATTAGCTCAAGCCTGAGCAGTGAAGGTTTCAACTAATCCATTTAACCTTGAGTTTGCAGTATGTAAAGAGCATACGTGCAAGGAATTGCTGCACCTCACCCTACATGCTAAGCTGTGGCAATACACCTACTTAGTGTAAGCTCCTGATTTCCATTTCTAGAAGAGTGGCAGGTTGGCACAACAGAGCTGAGAGAGCATCTTCAAGTCTGCATTTGGCATCACAGCATCGGAGGGAGTTCAGGCAAAGGTTAGGAAGCTGGGCTGGTGCACGAGGACAGCACAGCTTCCAGCATTACTCCGCTGGGACAGAGCATCACACGAGTGTTTTCTCAACAGTGCATTTTCCAGTGCCATACGTAGAGTAGTTAGGTCATGGATTAAGTCAGAGATGTACCCTGGTGAAATGAGCCCTACATTAACGCCTTATTCCGACAGCACAGGACATTCAAAACCGAGTGTAACAAACAGCAGGGAATTCGGACCAGCAACAACTCAGAACACACTCCCAGATTGTGTAGCTGCTGATCTCCAGAACGGTTGCATAAGCAAGCAGAAGTCACCACCCAGTTATGCAGAGGAAAATCAAAAGGACAGGGTGTGACTTAACCCCTAACTTTAAAAGTGACTGCACATCACATGAAAATGAAGAATATGCCTTGTTCTAAACGTTTAGTTATGAAGGAAAAAAACTCCAAGACAGGGTGTCTAGAAGGGCCAAGCATTGCCATTCTGAAGCTACTACATTAGTTCAGTAACATCCCACTGGAAGGGAGATATCCACCTCTAAATATTAATTATAGGTTGATATCATTCAACTGTATCAACAACAACTGAAAGTAGAGAAGGGAAGTAGAAAACTCCTGCCCTGCACATCTGCACCAATGAAAAAAGCAGCTGTGCACCTTCCCCCCAGCCCAGGGGCATGAAGTAGCCTCTTCTAAAACATTTAACTTACTTAAAACTCACTCAGTTTAATTATTCTGCCTTTGGGACACTACCATTCATCACCACACCATCTTTCATCAGCAGCAAACAGTATCAAACCTTTACTGTTATTCTTCAGCTAGCCTGAACATATGCCTTATTCTAGTGGTATTAAAAAAAAAAAATCACTAGCATTCCCTGGTTTGCCTCCTCTCAGTACCTGCTAAAATCCATCTCATTGACTTCACATAAAAAGATGATCCCCTTACATATGAGACCAGATTATCCTCTCAGTTATACCAAGGCAACCAAAAGGATAATTTGTTCTTGGGGTTATAGCACAGCACACTGAATGGCTCTGACTTTGGCAAAGTAAGATACCTTGCTGCTTGAAGACATTTTTCTACTGTGCAGGAACCTCCACATTTTATGTATCTGTCATTTCAGGTTTTCTAGTCTGCTAGGGAAAAAATAAATTTAGTTCATTTCTATTCCAAGGGGCAGTTTATCACCTAAAGCTGCTATATGTAGAAAACTTATTGGAATTACTTTCTGAAAAAGCAGTCACCACTATTTAAAAAAAAAATCTTTTCAGCTCAGGTGCAAACAAACAAAATCCAAAAAGTAGTGTCAGAAGCATTCACATCTATCCAGTTTATCAGGGTTTAGCTTTCTTATCAGTGCAGAAAATTGAGACCTTAGCTTGCGTTTAACAAGACCCAAATCTGTTTTGGGTCCTGTTAAGAAGACACAGAAGTAGGCTCATATTAACCTCAGAGTTCCTGTTAGCAAAACTACAGCAGACAAACCTAAATCCACTCCCTCAAGCACCAGGTAGGTAGTTGTGCCCCAAAAGGACTAGGGATCCCCTGGGCAGTTTGGATTGCAGCACTGACTGTAATGTTTGCAGCAGCTGGAGGAGCCTACATGACATCTCCAAGGCTTAATGGGATTTGTACAGGGAAGATGATTCCATTCCCTGTGCAAATGTAGGTTCTGCCCCTCTGAACAAGACACTGATGGCCAGACACTGCTTTTCAGCAAAACATGGGCAGTTTTGGACTCCAGATTCTGGTATGGAAAAGATCCAGACAAATTTCTTGCTACTCCATACCTTTAGCCTGGGGGTTTAGATGCCTAAATACTAACTGGCAGATCAGTGTAGACTCTCATGGGAATACTCAGTTACCAATACTGATGCTTACAAAGATGCCTTTTAGAGCAATTTGTTTATGGGGTTTGTTCAAAACTGAACTAAGTCAGTGTTACTGTAATGCAAACAAAATTACCATTTTATTCCATAATATTCACGATTGCAGTCATTTTACACAGTAAAAAAATTCTTATTTAAGCAAGTGGAAGAGGAAAAAATGCAAGTCAGGATAGTGTTTTTCCCTTCAGGAAATATTACTGTATTAAATACTTTAAAACCTGATCTTTTTATTGCAAACTTGACTTATAATCACTTTTCACAGTTCTGTTCATATGAAGTTCAGACATCTGGGTTCCAGTTCAGGCTTTATTTGTATACAAAAATATATATTATAATGGAAAAGGCATTAAAAGTTCTCCACTATATAAATTTACAAATATATTTTCATAAAAGCAACTTTAAATTAAGATTTAAGCTATATTTTAAAGCAAAATATAGCAGAAACATTTAAGTTATCTGATTTCACTTGCTGCAGAGTAGCAAAACCCATGCTGTTAAATACTTATAGGAAGATGACAGATTATGTTCAGAAAGTAAATAGCTTGGGTGGCAAAGTTATCCATCAATGTCAGCAATTCTCAGTGATTGATGCCACTTATCTTTCAGAGGACATATTCATAGGCAGGCACAATGCCAAAACATCCTGTTTCACATGCCTGTAAATACAAAAGAAAGTCAGCTCTGCCAATAGGGTTGCATGTTAACACACCAGACATAGGGCTAGACTATATGTTTTTAAACATGAGACCAAAGAGATTATACTGCATAAAGATTTAAGGTAATTTCTGTTTTAAAGTACATCAGGCAAAAGGCATCTGTAAAGTTTTTGCATAGCCTCAAGTGTATAAGCAGAACAGTATATAAACAGTATGAGTCAGGTAAGTTGAACTTTCTCCCAGAACTCCAAAGCACAGAGGAAGTGAATTGTTGAAATAACCATCATGTTCTCTCAATGCCTGGCCTCACCTTTCATGTGCTTTTCAGGGGGACAAGGCAACCCATAAAGTCACCTGCAACATAGCTTTACAAGACATGGCAAGATATCTGAGACTTTGGGGAGGTTTTGTCCTTCTACACGGCCATGCTTCAGATTCGAAGCTTTTTGGATGAGCAGATCAGTCAAATTAAGTTTCAGCAACAGAATTAGCACAAGCATGCATCCATAACAAGCAGAAATTATTTAAAATAATGGAACTGAAATTAGGATATGCATATGAAGACAGGGAAGCAGGAAGATCACAAGCACAGCTGCCTTGAATTAAATTCAACACAGATGGCCAAGACTTCAAGAATTACAGGAAAAGGAGAATACCTAATAACACAGACACTCGGAATTCATGTTTGTCATGCAGCCATTTAGGTCTAATCCTGTAATTTATTTTGAATGGAATCAGACTGCAGAGCCACATAAAAAGAACAGCACCATGTCCCAAATGCAACATAGAAAGAAGCAGAAAAAATAAGGATACACAGCAGGGAGAGGCATTTAAATTCATAATGAAAAACTCAACAGGGTAATTGAAAATCATAACTCCTAGGTAGTGACATAAAAGAGGGGGTCTAAATACATTTCTGGTAGAAACAAAAAAAATCCTGCTTAATCCAATCGAGGATAGATAGATATCTTCTCCTTTATGAAATTAAGCAAAAGGAAAGGCAAATTATAGTATCAATAAAGCTTCAGAATGATATCCTTCACTGTAGTTACCGCTCCAGTTGTTCAGCTTTGTAAGTAAGAAGCATGAACCCACTTTGAGCAGTCCAGAAAATGATGCATCCAATTAGATCCAATTGCATCCAATTAGATGTAGTCACATGATATAAAAAAGTTAGTCTGTTTGATACATCAACTTTCATTGTTTGAAGACACTAAAGAAGATGCACTCTAAGAAAACCTACTTACTTGCTAGTGTCCTGTCAAGATCAGCAATAAAATCTTCCAGTTCTTTTGTATCTCCAAGCTTTGCTGCAAATTAAAAAGGACATCACGGTTGAAATACGACATTTCTAACCAAGAAAACTCTGGATCTGCACAGTTCCCAGTATTTCAGTGGTATATATGCTCTGGATTTTCAGAAGAGTTTTCCTGACCTCTTCCTCATAACAGAGCTGCTAAAGTTTCCAAATACATTCTCAGAAGATGGGAAGGACCAGTTTAAAATTTCATTTTACCTTATCCAAATGACTAAAGAATCGAGCCACCTTGTTTTCCTAAAGCAGAGATTGAGATGGCAAGAGCAGGGGAAATATGTCAACTGAACTATGTACTTGCTACTGTGGGGATTCTTCCTTATTGTTTTAATATATCTATAGAAATATATATTTCAATATATAGATATCAAATATATGATATTGCATTCACAGCCCTAATCTAATCCTCTTCTATCTTGTTAAGTAGTTTGCTTTGATATAATATCCTTGATTATGATCTGTCCACTAAGCCTGCATCCAAACATCCATCCACATTTTCACTCCTAACAGAGCAACCCAGCCTATTTAATCTGCAATAACCAATTGTCCAGTTTTTAAGCAGTAGCAGCACTTATACCTGCAGCATGCTTAACAGTAATTTTTAATTTTGTTGACATCATAAAAAAAAGTGAGTCAAGTCATGTGTGTGAATCCTTGCTCACCCAAATACTATACAGCTAAGCGTTAGAAAGAAATGCAAACAAGTAGAATTAAGCTTACCTTTACAGGGAGTAACTGAAGGAGATGGCAAAGTTGGAGTAGATGCGGTTGGAGAATTCAGTTTTTCATCACTTAAGCTGAAACTATTCCTGTACAGCGAATCTGCACCTACAGGAGAAGATTACATTACAAACCAGAACACCTATCAGCAATACATACTCCAAATCTTAAGAGCCTTAAGAAAAAATGGGAGGTTTCTTGCATAGGCCAAGTCTGTACAAATCAGATCATCTATTATTTGAAGGAAAAGCACCTATGTTCAAGAGCAACCTATATCCTGTTATATCTAGTCCTATATATCCTGTTAAGAAAAGCAACAGCTTTTCCCACAGTCAACATCAAATAGAAAAAAAAAAGAAAAAAAAAAAAAAAAAAGAGGAACAGAAGTTATCCCACATCCCTTCAATTAGACCTGGCACAGCCTGCCTGACATGCAATAGCATGGGAAACTTTGGCAACCTAAACTTTTTTTTAGCTTTTCTAATAGCTTTTGGAGAACAGCTCTAGAACAAGGACAGTTCCCCAGAAACAGGAGTATCACAGACTGTTATTGAATCATTTGCCACTGAGATGGTGGTAAAGGAGCAAAAAGCAGCACCTAGTTAAAGAAATGCCTGCATGCCCAATACCACTCATTAATAGCGTATTTCTCTGATGCTGCACATAACCTGCCCAGAAAGGTGTGAATACAGGTATGATAATGCTAAATTCAGGGCCAAAAGGCCTGACCTGCTGTATCATCAATTTAACAGCTGGGACACCCAACTTATATCACCTTTCACTGATGAGTACAGAATATATTCAGCACTGTCCTCACCCCTGAGAAGTAGCTCCTGAAATCTAAGGGAGGAGAAAAACAATTGCTCTGTATTGGTATTTCCTACCAGCACTGCATAATGCAATACGAACTCCAGGACATGAATGGACTGAAAGTAACAGATAACATTTCTTCCTGAAAACAGCTTATGGGCCAACTTTAAACCAAAACCACATTTTTTGAGCCAAGATGCATACCACAGTGAACAAGAAACTACCAAAAACATACTGTTTTAAAACAATACTTCTGATTCCCATTGCATAAAAATGAGGTTTTGCAAAATACAACTCAAGGGCAGGAAGCTCAGGACATTTCAATCCTTGTTCTCTAGTTCTCTACCAGCTGCAACAGCCAATATTCCCTCATTCCCCTTCAAAGGAGGATCTTGGAAGATTTCCATTGCCACACAAATCCAACAGCCCCTGCAATCAAATAACTGGAGACTGATGCCCAGGATCTCTCATCACTGCTGCCTATCCTCATCCAACACTTTCTTCCACTGCTATGGAAGTTTATCATTTATTACTTATTTTGTTGCTCAAAAAAATGTGTATACATGCAGGTAGGAGAATCAAACTGATTTACAGCTGTTTAAAAGAAATACTGTCTCTAAAAGAAAACCTTAAAAATGAGTTAGGCTACTAAGCTGATTTATATGAGTTAGGCTATGGAAACAGCTGCAAAATTAGAGGTTTAGAACAAATATGGATGCATTTTACTTTGGCAAAGTAATGTGTAGTTAGTACTGGCCTTTGCTGTTCTAATATACAGTTAAACCACAAAGAAAAAAAAACCACTACTGCAATACCATGTAAATATAGACTGTTTCCATGAAATAAACAATTGAAAGGTTCTGGACAGTAATTAACCCAAAGAGGAAAAACCTCAGACTTCTTTTCCTTTTAAAACAGGCAGTGGAAAAGCTTAGCCAGCTGACTTAATATTATGCTCTTCCTAATGTCATAGTTGATCAGGATATAGTTTTAGGAACAGTTAGCCTTATTTGAGACAGTGCAATTTTCAGTGAAGAAAGGTTCAGAGGACTGTATCCCTCCAGGTTTTCAGAGACGAGCCTTAAAGTGTCATTAAAATGTCTCCACAGATTACAAATTCATCACAAACCATCCAACAAAACAGCCTGCACAACTCATTTCCACAGCTCATTTTATTAAAAAAAGAAATCAGGAATTTCTAATGCTATCAGTAGGCAGAAGATGGTATAAAGAACTCATTCCACAAGGTATAGGCTGCAGTCCTCAAGGACAGGACCATGTCATGCTCACACTTTGCTGCCTTGTTTATGTGTTGTCTTCCATCTGGTTATCAGCCACCTGTTCTAATACAGACAGAAAGAACACTTTTCCCTATCTAAATTCCAGAGTTTATTGCTTTAAAAGATTTCAAATCACATAATTACTAATTACAAGGAAGTCATTTAGGAAGCTTGAAATTTAGACATAACAAGAATGCTTTCCCATACTGCTCCCCCATCACATTTACTGCTTGAAAAAGCAAAGTTTCTAATTCCACTCTTCCCCTTTAATGCTCTTTTTACATAGTAAAGCATAAGGGAGACAAACAGGTATTCTGGAGGTGCAAGCACAGCAACTCTCACAGGCAAACATGTCTTTCCCTTTAACTGAAATACCTGGAAAGCAACTTATGTACCCCAAACTTCTGGGTTTTCTTCATTCTCTTGAATGTATCAGATGATTTCATAAGCTGTATTACTCCTTATATCCCGTAACACTTTCTCCATGGGAGTCTTGTTTCATCATTTCATTATACTGTGTTGCTTTTGCCAGAGACAGGTCATTCAAAATTTGAGGCAGCAATTCACTTAATTCTCTTCATCATATAAAATTAGGATTTATTGTTAATAAAAAGTGCTTCTACTCAGATGGAGCCTCTGATAGCAACTCATAGTAGATGCTTTTAGAAGGCTTCAGGAATGGTGCAGGAACACACCAGCATTGCCAGATAATATTCAACCAGTTCCTAGCAATGCACAGATCAACATACTTCAAGGCAGCAGTACCACCTTAGTACTCAGCAGTCCCTGATGAATTCCTTCCATGGCTATCTAGGTGCTTTGACAATGTAAATATAACATCCACAACACCTTAAGGCAAAATGATTTTGCAGTTGAACTTTACAGCATGTGTAGAAATATCTCCTTTTATTTGAAATGTGCTAGTTGATGTTCTCATGCTGGGAGAGTGAGCAAACACTACTTCCTCCTTCATTTTCCTAACACCAATTTGGATGTTTTGAAAGAATAGACTGTCCCCACTGAAGTCGTATCTTTTCTAGGCAGACAGCCCTTGACTTCTTAGTCATTTGGGAATCATTTCGCATCTTCAATCATTGAGTTTTTCTGCATCTTTTCCACACTTATGTATTGCAACACTGCAAATGTGTCCTTTTCAGGATGACTGTGGCAGTATTAACAGTGGCTGATGTGTCATCTTCAGCTAGTGGGAGCGTTAGCACAGCCACACACACTTCCACGGCATGTAACCACAGATGCCTGTATTACACCAGGCACTGGGTGTTAGCAGAAAGCAATTCAGCCCCTTAGTAAACCTGCACCTGCTCAGTTTTGAAATTATAACATTGGAAGTTGTAGAGGCACTGAGGTCTGATGCGTTTAAAGGCCAGGAGACATCTCTCAAATGAAATTACAGCATTAGAAGTTGTAGAGGCACTGAGGTCTTTCTGATGCATTTAAAGGCCAGGAGACATCTCTCAAAGCATTTACATGCTCCTAAAAGTTGCCGTGAAGATACACTGCAGGCTCTCAGTGCAAGCTGACATTTATTTTCCAACACTTTTGATAGAGAGAACAGAAGTTGAACCAGTTTACTACTAGCTAGAAGTGTTAAAACACTGCTGAGAGCACAAGAGATTATGGTTTAGCTTTTAGGTGTTATTATAGCTTTGGCACAAGAAAAGCTAAAGCATTTCCATTCTCAACCTTTCATTTAGTCTAACTCTCCACTTGTTATTCCAAGTCTAAACTTGAAAGACTTTTGTGCCATTGCTATACAGTATACTGGCAAAGTACATTGACTGGACATGTCATTTATGCAGACAAGCCTGCATTTTTCTTTGCAAGCTCATTCCAGAAGACAAGCAGCAAACAGTATATTTAAAAGTTCAGGTTTTTAACTGCACCTGCACTCTTGGCAACACAACTCTACTACAAATCACATTATCACATACAACAGATGCCATGGCTAACAAAAATGTCTAAGCATCTCCGCTATTTATGCTGAAGCATCTAAGACAAATCTAAAGTATGAAGCTGTTATACTTCCATTCTGCTAAATATAGAAAGCTTGAACATAATTACTGTTCATTCTGATAGTTCAGCACTCAGAAGTGACTATTGCTGGAGTAAATTAGTTTTTGCACTGTGATTTCCAGCACTGCAATCAGCTGCTTCATTTAATACAACGCTTGCAGGCCAAGTACTAGCCTGATCCATCTGCACATGCTAGCATTTTTATTACTGCAAAGGCTACAGTCCACTGTTACATACAATATCTGATCACATCCAAGGCAGACCTTGGCCAAAGATCAGTCTAAGTAACTGGACAAGGTGCAGTAGACCCAGCTATTATTGTGCTCCTTTTCCAAACTAGGATCTTTGAGTGTTATTTTTCCCCCCCAAGAGGCTGAAATGAGTAATAAGAATGTCTAATAGTACTTTTGGTCTTAGCTCCCTCAAGAGAAGCTTTTAAGGAGATATATATATATATATTACACACACACACACACACCCCCACCCATCCACCCTACTTAAATGATCAACTGTATTGAAAGAGAGCTTCTGTAAATACTTCTGTTTCTAAATTAAATTGCCTCATCCTCACTATACGAGCCCCAGAAGAGGGCTTTACTTACCAGGCAATAAAAGAACATTGTTCAGATATGGCCAGTGTTAGTGGTTTTTGGAGAAAGTTTAAGTTTAAATGCGATCCATGCACCCTAACACAAATGATCGCAACAGTTTAGGATGTTACTGCCCAATCTTACAATCTCACACTAGACTTAAAGATATCACTGCAGGAATGGCAGAACAGGTATGCCTGACCCTCCACACCAGGTTAGAGAATCAGATCATCTGGCCAACAAGAGATAGTACTAAAATAGTTCTGTAAATACATAACAAATCAGTTGGAATCACCTGTACCACTAGATAGCAGGAATCTGCAAGGATAGAAAGAGTCTTTGTGAATTATACTCTAATTCCAACTGCAGATAATATTGTTGGCATTTCTTCTGCTGTTACAGATTTGCTTTAACAGCTAGCTCTCAGGTTAAACATCACCACAGGATCAAAGAGAAAGTAGGCTAAGTGTTTCCATGGGAATAGAGAGGCCATGAAGTGTACCTTCAAAGGACAGAGACCAGAAAGGCAGAACCAGCAAAAGGAAAACTTCAGTTTGAACAGGAGGAGTCCAGACCAGTAGAAATTTCCATGTCTATTCTTAGACTAGACATAGGGAGTGTATCTAGATTACATCACACATTTCAGCCTGTTATAAAAGGATCTCTTCATAAAAACATCTGAATCTCCAGTCCTACTATAACTCAAAATTAAGCAGCTTTCTGCACTGAACAATGTTTTGCTGAGTCTCTCCTGAGAAAAGCGTCAAGGTTCTAGTTAAAGTAGAAGAGGCATTTGTTCATTTAAAATAAAACTGACAGCACTAGAAACTCATTCTGACTTCAGATTTTTCAAATTTAACCATAGTTTAAGCTAGCCTAAGCAAATTCACTTCATAAGAAAATGAGGTTAGCTAATTTTCTATTTCCTTTCCCTCAGTCATATCCTCATACGCTGGGCATAGTGGATTCCTCTAGACCACTTAGTGCATCAACTGGTCCAGTTGATGCCAGTGTCCAGAGAACAGTGACTACTCCATCAGAACCACCCTTCACATTATGCACCATTAAATGAGGAACCTTAACACAGGCAGAAACATGAAAGCTTGGCAAGTTTCTAATGCACCATCTTTGATGACTGCTCCAAGTCTTCAAATCCTGTCTACCTCTGTTAGTGTATTCAGTCTGAAACAGTCCAGATGTGACAGGATTCTGTTTTTCAGGTCTTCTGCATGAGCATGCTGCTCCCTACTAAGCAATTTTAATATAACAATTTTAACATATTCTAGTATATTCAATTCTAATATAACAATTTTAAGTATTGTTCAAGATAAGTTTTTTGAGTCACAGCACATATGTTAAGTGACATTAGTAGGCTTTAACCACAACAAAAAGAACAAATCCTTGATGCTGTTTTGTTTTCTCACGTTTTGCCAACAGTAGAATATTTAACTGGATGGAGAACCTTCAAGCTTTTGGTGAGAGCACACTAGAGGTTACTATATTAAAATACAGAAAACTACACAGAAAAGTAAAACTAAGTCTCTGCTATTGTAGTTAATGATAGACTCAGATTTACAGGCTGCTCACATAATTTATCAGCTTGAGTCGGTAAAAGCAGGCATCATCTTACCCCCAACCACCCAAAGGTTGGTGTATAATCTAAATCAGGTGTTCATTACTAAACCTTCCTCCACAGGGAGAGGGACTTGCAAAGAGCAATTCATCCACTTTAGGAAACAGATAAAAGCCTCAGGAAACATCTAGTATGCCCGCAGACATCAGGAAGGGGGAAAAAAAGTGGTAGTTAAGTTAGATGTCAGAGTTCAGAGCAGGTAAAATTAAGTGAGATGAATCCTGGCCATCATAATGTTATAAAGTGGTTTGATACTAGGGAGCAGCAATAGGGATAGCTTAACCACTAGGAACAGTATGTTCCTTATGTTTTAGCAAAAGGTCCACAAAATTGTATAGTGAGTCACTGAGGGAAGCACAACAAAATTTAAAGGCACAATTTTATAATAAGTAACAAACTCAGGAAGCTTCAGTTTTGTAAAGCCACCTATAAGGGAAGTTTTTAAGTTTACAGAGGCTTTTAAGTTCAAGAATTAAGATATATTTGGGCTTATTTATTTATTATAACTTCTGAAAAAGCAGCTATTGAATCTATTGCTTCCAAAGAGGACAGCAATCCTCAGTCTGACTCCTTGCATGAGGAAAGATGGTCTCTCAGTGACTGAGAAAAATAAGAGATGAGTAAAACTTAAGGAAAAGTAGTATTAAAAAAAAAAAAAGCAGCACCCACCTCCCCCCCCCAAAAAAGAAAATCAGTCCATTTTGTATTTTCTGCTCAGCGCTACCTTCACATCAGGTACCACTTTGCCTGCTGCAAGCTCCCTGTGTGCTGTCTGCACACACATAGCATATGCCATTTCTACAATGACAACCTCCGAGCAGTGACAGCTTCTCCACTGATTAAAAAGAACTGCTCATTTAGTTCCAGACAGTTTACCAAAAGTACTCGAGTTCACTCATTCAGCTGATATTTAAACTAGTAAAACAAAGTACAGCCAGGAAACCTCAGCATTTTGCCAGCCAACTAGTATTTCTACCTTCCTCACAACATGCGACAGAGCTCTGCTTTTCTCCAGTTTCCTAGCAAAACTGAAAACCCTGGAGAAAACATAAACCCCCAAGGTTTGACAGCGACCTCTTCCCCAGGGTGCAAGAGAGACTGGGCACAAGTGATACCCGAGCTCTCCACGGGGCCAAACCCAGCGGGTCAAAGCACAGCAGGCTTGATGCTTTAAACTCCTCAGAAGCAAACGAAGTGTTTTTAAGGATTTTTTTTCTCTTTGCCCGCGGCGGGTGCCCCGCACTCACTCTCCGAGTCGCTGAGGCCGCTGCCGT